GAATCGTATTCGAATATTCGGATTATTCGAAACTAATATTAACCGATTCCGGTACTCTTTTGAGTAGTCCCAGCACTATCTGTAGTGTTAATGATTTCTTTAAAAAATTGTTTAGTTTTGCGCCTGTGTTTTTTTGCTAGATCATTTATTAATTTAAGTTAAATATTGTGTGATTTGCCATTTAATATGATGGAAAGTCATCAACATCTACATAATTATCAGTGACAAGACTATAATGAAAATAACGGTCTTGAATGTCTTTATTGGTAAGTTCTGATGAGGATGCCATAGAATTATTCGATGAATCAAAATTAAAAGACTGCACGATTTCCAAATCAATGGATTTCATACTCAAAAAATTTCAGATTTACCTGAACGTTTCTGTCAGCCGTGAAAAGTACCCTTGAAGTCTTCCACCGTTACTCCTAAATTTTTGGAAAAAATTTCAATTCTGTTTTGTGATTTGGGGTTGGAACGATCATCGAATTGCGGCTCATACACAAAACATACACAAAGAGAGCAACCAGCTGAACGATACAGTGTGCAATGTACTGACCAAGACGAAACCTCAGTGAACAACACTAAGGACAAACTGGCAAACCACCACCAAGAGTGAACATAGATAGATACACAGAGGCAACGATGCCGGCGCAAAAGAAAGAGAAGTAGTGAATAATTTCGCCAGATGTCATTCTGCCCGTTTTCTCAGGTTTTGCAGTCACGATACTCATTTTGTTCCAGTACCTCTTTAACGATTTTTCTTGCTGGTATTCCACATTTTTGACTTCGCATAACGTCCACGTGGTAAATCCATTGTATTCTAATCATGCGTCTATAGCATCATATCTCATATTATTATGATTGTCACATGTAAGTATTGAGAAAATATTCCATGGTAGAAACTGATTGGGATGTTGCATGATTCTCATGTGATTGAAAGCTGTTCTGCTCTTCTCTATCCGCATTTTAATTTATTTTATCTGTTTTCATTTGTTGTCAAGAAAAGTGCACAGGTAGTTTATGGATGTAGCCGTTTGCTGTCGGGAGCCGTTTGCATGAAACTGACCATCATTATCTTGTTTGCTTACTATTATAACCTTTGTTTTATTTCTGTGCACGCTGTGGGTTTAGCATACTTCTGTTACTTTACATTTGGAGACCCTTAGCTGCATCTAAAATTAAACTGTGATATCTGCGTACCTTAGATTATTATTTCCAGCTATTAAAATTGATTGACTATAGTCAAATTCTGGAGGGATCAATAAAAAAAATGTTGTAGAAAAAATTACTCAAAAAACGCCTAAGATTTGATTTAAACAAACGCATAAATAATTTTTTGTCATTTCGTACAGCTGTCGTTGTAGAATTAACTTTCTGGACATAATGACGATATTATAAGGGTGGTCTTGTCGGAGAATATATACAGTCATTACTTACGACTGTTTGGGAGCCTATGATTAGGCCAAGATAAAGACACGACTAGACAAATGGACACCGGATCGTCTCAAATTACAAAGCGAGTCCGCTCTCTAATCTACAAGCTGCCGCTAACACCTAGCGATGTAACGGGGCCCTTTAGTTGTGGCCTATGCCTATCAAGCGTTAAAGCTGCATATTTTTTATCTCCCTCATTTTAATTCGCGATGGTTGAACCTTGGGTGAGGCATAAAAACAAGGCTAAATGAAAGAAAGAACTAAAAATTTTCAGTAATTTTTCTTTTTTTAAAAAAGAAACATGGTACATATCGATCAAAATTTTCTAAAAAGCTGCAACAGTGAATAAAAAAAGTAATCAATTTTATTGAAGTTTGTTCTGTTATCCAAAAACCCATGATAGGAAACCATGTATGAGTGACAAAAATCCATACAAACGTGTCTCCTAAATTGCCTTGTGTTCAAAATAAAGAGACTGCTAAAATTAAAAAAAAAAACAAATTGTTTCATTATTATACCTTCGATTTTTTTCAAATTTAATACGCTTCTTTTAAGAAGTTTTTGCGTGAAAAAATGTGCAAAATTTTTAAGAGTAGCAACTGAACATTCTTGAAAAAAGTTTACCGACAAATAAAAATTTTCGAAATTCCCATTCAATAATTAAACTTGATCTCTTACTTTTTTTCACCACATACACCGTTTTCTGCATCGAAATTTTATATTCGTTTTTTAGAATTTAGAATACCCTACATCTCTCAAACCTAGCAATTTGACAGATATTAACGACTTTTTTTTCATTAAAAATTGGTTTTCTAGGCATATTCTAAAAAACATGGCCCGTTTTGTACCTTGTGTTTAATTCTACCAAATCTCAAACATTTAATAGGTTCCGCTTTTCACGAGATTTAAAATATATCAAACAATAACGTCAAAACTGAGAGTGTGATTAGGTACACAAAGTTCCTTGTCAATACTGAATCACTGTTCGGTTCCATTTTTCAAGTTCCATTCCTGTTTAATGATTCCGCTAGCGGAATTCATATTGCTTAATACATTAAAGTCGGTAATTAATATTGGGATCGTAATAAATGCTCGCGCATTAATTATTAGTGTTAGAAGAGATGTTACAGATAGGCAGGCAGTTTTCTAAATTAGTCCGTATGCGCTGCAATCAAAAAGATAATTTAAGATGACAAGCGGAAATAACATCCATAGGTGAAGTTAAACATATGTAGCATGAGGTCGAGATCTCGTATACTTGCGGGAGGGTTATTTATTGGAAGTGAAGTTTTTCGCGTTAACTGGACCTTTTTAATGTTCGGTTTCTATAAAAAGTTTTTAAAAAAGCTAATGCTACCCAACTTTCAATTTTAAGCGTGCACACCTGAAATTTAACGTTCCATATGGAAATTTGTAAAATATGAATGAGGCAAATGGAACTTTAAGCAGTTGCTTGTTATTAATATCAATTATTCACTATTCAAACCACGAAAAACCACCAAAATTCATTATAGGGACAGAACAAAAAATGGTGTTTTTACAGCGGAATTTTATTGCACTTCTAGTAAGAATATTGAGCAAAAAAATCTCAACTGTATTTGGTATTTAGAACAGACTGGCGAATACTTAAATTATATTCAAGTGATTTGTGAATTGGAAGGAAAACCCCACAATATCCAAAACACAGCCTTCATGCAATGGTAATGGGCAAAGATTGACGGAATCAGCCTCTTCCGGCAATGTAATGATCCATCCACAAACAGACCTAGAATTAAGAAGCTTCCGAGGAATAGGATTTAATACAGACCATTATCTAGTCCGAGAGAAAGTGAGAATGAGAATATTAATAACATAAATACCCCAGAACCAAGGCATGGAACATGACATTGAAGAACTGCAAAATGAAACAACGCATGGAGACGGTCTCGAACAAACTTTGAAATGCGTTGAATCTGAGAAGCTGAAAGTAATAACAGAAACGGCTCAGAAGGTTTTTGGAAAGAGTAAGGTAGAGAGGGCAAAAACATGGTTTGACGATGGGTCAAACCGTTCCAAAAGCGATGCAAAAAACAAAAGAGATAATGTTGCAACTCCAGATGGACAAAAGAAAATAAAAATATGTGTTACCAAAAAAAGACAACAAACTTATTAATATGAAACAATAAAAACAGACCGCCCAAAACCGGAATCCAGAGAATTCTACAGAACAATTTCATTTAAGAAGAAATGTTTCAAAGCAGATTCAATTCGACACTTACGAATGACGTAGATCATATGTAATTCTTACATTATGTTAAGGTTTAATTATTAAAACAGTTTATAAACAAGGCATTACCTCTGAAGTACACAGGATACTACGGACGTAGAGGGAAATGCAACCTTCTTAGAAAAGCAGCATTATGTTTTGTGGTCGTAATGTCGCCTTTTCACCTTACTGAAAGCCAAGTTTATGTACGTGTACGTGTTTTCGAGTACTGAGTACTGAGTACTGAGCACACCAAAATAAAATTGAAACAAAACGAAAACTCTCTCGAGCTTCAAGCCGACTGCATTTTGTTTGACTTTTGTTTTTGTTATCCATCCGATTCCAATGATTATTACGGTGAAGCAAAAGCTCAGTTATATATATTTATTTTTAATTTATACTGCTATCGTTTGAAAAAAAGTGAGTTAACTTGAATATTTACAGGCTGCTTTCAAATTCTAGTATCACCATCGCAATCTTGAAAACGCTGAAAATGTATCGACGAGCCTGATAATATTCCTTTGCAAAATTTAAGTTACGCACTCGTCTGGTTTAACACTTTATTTTTTTAATAGTTTATTTCAAAACTGATCCCGTATTGCGTTTCCTTTTGCTTAAACCATCATCAATTTAAATGTTAATTAGGGACGCCAATTTTGGCAATCTTAAATAGCTTTTTTGTCTTTTAAAATGAAGTATTACGAGTTATTTATAAGTGGGCTTTTATTTTTTCGTTAATAAGTCAAATTTTGATTTTATTACGACCCCAGAAACGTATCTGAATATGTATCGCAACAAGTATTTGATTGAAATCTCGCTGAGCACCTGCGCGATAAGAGAAGAAAAATAAAAACCTACATGTCAACGATGCTATGATGCTATGTGAGTTGTCACGTGTATGTTTTATAACAAATCAAATCATTTTTTTGTCATTTTGATAGTACTATCCCAGCTTTCCTTAAGGTTATTTACTCTTATGACTTTTAATTTAATATTTAGGTTTCGTTCAGAATATATTATTATTATTTCCTACATAGCAGAGCATACTTTACCTTAATGGTGTATATTCTAAATATATTTTATTATTAATGCTGCTCTAGCCGTCCAAACCAATTTGTGATTCATGGGCATAAAATAACTCTATAATTTTGCCCAAACTTTTGAACATAAAAATTTTTAAGGCCTTGACTTGGGAGGGTTTAAATCTTAATATACCAGTGCTGATATCATCGCCGAGTTGATATCTCTCACACATTTTTAATGCTTCTTTTCCAATCAAGCAGTGAAAGACAACAAAACAATTTCAAAACAGCTATTTTATTTACATCAACTGTACGGCAGGTTTAAAATAGGTTAAGCCATGTCACGGACATCAAATTTTTCTATACGTACGTACGTGGAAATATATATTGCAAGTTTTCCGTTCTACGGACCAATCAATAAATATTACATTAAATACATTTCGTTTAAATATAATTTACACGTTTTACAGTACATCTCGTTATATTTTACAGTATTTACATTTTATATTTACAGTGCTTTACAATGTTGACCTGAAACGAATATTCCACATTATTTTAAAACTATAAAGAATTGTAAATCAACAAAATTATAAATTTATCCCAATATTATTTCTTGTTAATCTGCGTGTACAGGAAGTTGGACAGATTAAGATGCACAATTTAAAATCATTTTACCCAATGTATACATGGCGGCCCTAAGAAACGTAACGAATGAAACATATATTTTATTAATGGAATACCCTATATTTAAATTTTGTTTTGAAATATTAGCTTTTTCAATATTTCAATTTTTACCATTTTCTCATAACTTTTGAAACTTACGAGAAAATGAACTTTACTGTAGAGTGTGTATACATTTGAACTTTGAACTTGTCTTCACCCATGATGTAGTTTTTGCATCCTCTACGATCAAATCCAAATAAATTTCTGTTTTGCTTTTACCATTTTTTCATAAATTTTGAAACCAATGAAATACTCTATCGTTGACTCACGCTTTACAGTGTGTATAAATTTGAACTTTGATTGACTTTACCCATGATGTAGTTTTTGCACCCTTTACGCCCAAATCCAAATAAGTTTCTCTTTCGACAAAAAATTATAGAAAAAATAGTTATTCTAACCAATACAACAACCAATATAAAAATCGTATAAAGAGTTATTCCTCCGGTATGTAATTAATAAATAAAAAAATGTTTTTCTACTCCCGTCTGTAAAATACCTAATTACACACCGATCTAGTATGCTGGAAGTGTCACTTTACCACGTCACTTTCGTTTCCCACGGATCCGAGCCACTTCGGATATTTCCGGGTTTTACCGCACGGCTTGAATTTTGACATTTGTTAATTCTGACGGTCTGATGTCAGTGAGTGTATTCGTATTGTTTTGCGTATTGTTTTGCGAAAATGTACCGAAAAACTAACGGTCGTAGAAAAAGTATAGTATGCAACACGTTCGGTTATCTTTTGAAATCACTCGTTTATTAAACACTCGCTCCGCTCGAGTAAAATAAACTCATGAGTCAAATGCCGTTTACCGCACTTGTTGCATAATATACTATTGTCGGTAGGATTATTGTCGCAAAAATTGGACTTTAAAATATTTAACAGGACTTAAGTACAAAATGCACTTAGAACTGTATTAATTATTAAATTTATCAAAAAAATATACAGTACCAATCCTAGACGCATTTGGATAAATTACACGTATAAAAACAAAACACTAGCAAAATTTACTTGTCTCCTTCATATCAAATTCGAACACACTGTATGAATTTCTATTTAATATTCATGAAATCCCTTAAATCTCTACAATCAAGTTTACTTCAAAATATTAAATGTGAAGTGTAGAACTATATTTAGATACATGGAATCCATAAATACATTTGGAAAAAATTGTTCATATCGCATCGTGGTTACTAACTATTTCTTGAAGAATTAAAACATTCATTTTTAGTAAAACATCCTCTCTGGAGGATAAAGAGAATAAAGTCAAGAAAGATCAACACCTAACGCTATTTAGTACGTACAAAACATAAAAAAAAACTTAACATTTATTTATCGGAACTAACAACCAAATTTTTCGGACAATCGTCCTCATTTACAACCGGCTTCTTTTTCAAGACGCCCAAATCTTGTACATTTTCCAGGAAGCTTTTTTGGACGGTCAAATACTTTGTACTCTCCACGTCCTTCTTCAGCTCTTCCAGGTCTCTTTTCAGCTTGGCCCGTCGGTTCTGGAACCACGTTATCACTTGGGCATTCGTCAGTCCTAAACTCGCGGCAATTTCATCTCTATCAGCCGGACTGAGATACTTTTGGTAGAGGAATCTTTTCTCCAGCTCGTAGATTTGATGGTTGGTGAACGCGGTCCGGGATTTTCGCTTCTTTTTCGGCTGCTGCCGCGAGTTGAACAGGTTCAGGTGGCTCTGACCATCTGGAAATAGAATGTTGCAGTTAATTTAAATTCTGACAGTTTTCATTAAAAAAAAACAGCACTTTTTTACATAATACATGTTTAGGGAACTTTCTAGAATCAAGAGAACTAAATACATAAAATGACTAAAATTTTATCGCCATCGATTAAACTGACTACAGTTTAGTTTATTTATTGTAGTTTGTGTTCCATGATGGCTATTGTTATATACATAAAATCTAGTTTAAAAGTTTAGTTAGCTATGTTTTAGTGTCAGTGTCAACGTTACCAAAAACATCCCTAATCGTACCATTTATTCATTTCCGTATTTAAGAAATTAATTTCGAATCCCTTAGTCAAAAACCATTTATCTCGTGTGCTCTATTAAATCACATTAATGGGCAAATTTCTCGGAGTTAACCAACCCCTATATGTCAGACCATTAATACGTATTAAGTCAACATATTGTCACCCCCTCGAGATCTGTAAGCCCCTTGTGCAAACACAGCTAATGTATATGGCGAATATTGAGAATGCCAATGAGCGGGCAGTGATTTTATTGCTCCGGTGTTCAATTGTTTTGGTTACGCTTCACTCGTCCGGGAGAATTTATTGGTTTAATTAAGGGAAATTATCGCTGCCGATTCTTCGTATCTGCTAAATGGAATTTTTTTATTAAAAAAAAGCGGAACTGCAATTTATGATGCCTTTGGTGAATGTTTTCCCATGAGGATTTTTCAGCGATGTAATAATGTTTCTAGAGAAGGTAAATCCAAAAGATTTCTGTTGAACTTACAAATGTAACTAGTAGATAAACAAATAAACATATGTTCCAAGATATTTCAAATGGCTTGTCAATAACTTGATGGTTGATTTCCCACTGCTTTACCGGGACACGTTGACCAGTATTTTTGGCGATATATGTGCGGCAAGCAGTTTTATATATATTTTTTAGCGTTATGCAGAACTTGCTTCTTGATCATTTTGTTTGTTTGTTTTCGAAGAAAAAAATTTAAAACTTTTTAATAGTCGTTTCGGATAACGTTCTTTGATCGATATATAAAGAAAAATCGGATAACATGGAACAATTTTAATTGATAAAAAGAAGTAAGCTTTTGCCTCGATTAGTTCGAAAAATTATTTCGCTAGTATTTTCACAGAGAGCTATTTACTTCGTATCATCATTCCAAACCACCAATATCCACAATTCCAATCTAGAATTATGCTTTTAGCACGTAAATAAAATACAAAATATACTTTTTTCTTATAGGTAAAAAACAGAAAGAGAAAAATGAAACAAACGAATTCACATTTATATCATATCTCATATATATATATATATATACATTGGGTCAAGTTATCTAAAAATTGATCATTCAATTCTAATCGAGGCAGTTTGTATTAGTATAATAGAATAAAGCTGCGTTTATCTATGTACTATACAAGGTATGGTCTATTCATAGATATAAGAAAGTGACCAATTGCTTTTGAATAGGATTATCCAAGGGTGGTCATTAACATACAATGCAAAAAGATTATTACCTAAAGTTTCGGAATTTAAATTCAAGTAAAATTGTGGTCCGTAATAGAAAATAATTTTATACCTACTTGTGTTTAATATTCTTTGGTTTGGTATACTACTTAGTTTAAGTTTATTAGTAATCATTCTTATTTCATGTGTAATACAGCGTGTGTTGAATCGTGTGCGAATGCGTATCTCAGGAGATGCTCCCGCCCAAATGTAGAAAACACTATTCTATTGAGACTAAGGAAGTTATAAACAATGTTTATTTGACTCTCATTGAACTACCTTATGGAAGTGTATTCAACACATGGGTTTTAGATTTAAAAAATTGACAAAAGGCAAGTTTTAATGGAATCTTTTAGAATTCGGAAATGGCGACTGGAATATCTAGACAAAATTTGGAATTACAGAGAACAACAAAGGCCAATTATTTACTTAGATGAAACCTAGTTCGACACTTATGATACCCCTGATACAACTGATCAAAAAGAGGTAAAAGAATAACTATTTTGCATGCTGACTCTAAAGATGGTTGGAGTCCAAATGGACTTTCTATGTCTGCGAAAAATATTAAACATTCTTCTCTGGATTACCATGAAGACATCACCGCAAAAAATCTATACAGTTTTAAGGCTTCCACCTTACCACTGTATATTTAATCCCATTGAATATGTTTACCACCAACTGAAATCTGCCCTTCGTCGTAACAATGTTTTTCCCCCTGTTAACTCCAATGTCCTCACTTATTGAAACCGAAGTTTTTAACATCCCTCCAAAAAGTTGGGCAAATTCTGTTAAACATATAGAAAAAGCAGAACAATCGTATGTCTATATCTATATATATATTATATATATATATATATATATATATATATATATATATATATATATATATATATATATATATATATATATATATATATATATATATATATATATATATATATACGCCCATATAGAACAGGTGATGATAGCGATAGTGATACTGATATATTATGTGAATAATTTTAAGTAATTTAAGTAGGTAAAAAAAAATTATTTTAGATTTAAACATAAATACATACATAAATAAATATTGTTTAGTATCTTTTCTAACAAAACCCCAAATAATTAAATTCTAATCAAAATACGGACCTGTTCGGCCATATTTCATTCTTACAGCTTGCCCGGGTCTTTCCTTAATTCGTATCACTTTCTATGAACGACTTTACTACCTAGAAAACCACCAAGAAAACATGTTATGTTCTACGGTTTTCAGAATATGATGTGTCGGGGTTAGGTCGTTATTTTTTAGTGAAATGGCACAAAACGCAAACGCAATGGCATATATTTTAGGTAGCTTTAGGTTAAGGCTTGTATTCACTTTGATTAGTCCAGGTGATTAGTGATTAGGAGAAAATAAATGTGGACAGCGACTGATTAGTGCAATTGATTAGTTCGCTGCGTAGTAAGGTGATTACAAGCGTGTTCCATTTTTTGCGAGTAGATTGAGAGTAGCCGCGTCCCACGCGCCCTCTCGACCCCCTCAGTCGCAGCTTGCTTGCCGCTAAACACGTCAGCACAAGGCACAGGCAGTTTTTACTGTTTACGTCAGACTCTCGTATTGTTGTGCAAAAAATGGCAAAATGGACCGAAGACATAATTCATAAATTTGTGCAGGAGTATGTAAAACATGAACGCCTTTAAAACTGTAAAGTCTCTAGTTACAAAATTAAGGGAGCCCGAAATGCGGCACTTACGTATAAGTGAAGCTATGAACATACCGGGATTTGGAAGTAAAGAAGTTTATACTAAAGTAAGAAACTTGAAGTCAACATATTCGCGAAAGGCTAGGAAAATTAAACAGAGTACAAAATCTGGAACTGGAACGGATGACGTACATAAACCACAAATAAGGTGATTCAAATTATTAGACGATGCTTTAAAAGCTATAAATGTACCGTGCAGCGACACAGGAAATATTTGGTAAGTAAAAGACATATGTTATTTTTTTATATTCTTTATTACATGACGACACAACACAACTGCAAAACTACGTTTTAATTCAATTTATCATTCGAGACTGCCAAGAGACTGCGCCTACTCCTACAAAATAAGCTGCTAAATCGTTGGGTATGGTTTGTGCAATTTGAGATGATCTATTCTGCATTCTCATAGTAAGTGGCAAGTCCATCTGGTGGCACTTGTCTCCAGGATCCTTCAATGACATTTCCATTCCGTGTCCTCTATATCAACGGTGGCGACATGTACGCGTACTTTGTTTTTTCTCGTCCAGTTATGCATGGCGCAACATGCTTTTAGGATTTTATGCATTTTGTTGGGAAAAAAAGGGTAGCGGCCTTTCGAAAATTCTGTATCGACTTACTAAGATGCCAAAAGCATTTTCGACAATTCGTCTTGCCCTTGATAATCTATAATTGATTTTTTTTTGTTTAAATGTGAATTGGTTTCCACTGTATGGTTTCATCATATATGGTTTTAGAGCAAACGAATTATCGCCCACTAGAACATGATCTTCGGGCAGTAAATTATTTTCCAAAGCATGACTAAGATCACAATGGGAGAAAATTCCAGCATCCGATACACGTCCATTATATCCATCAATATATGTACTTGTAGTAACGACTTCCTGCGTTTGGTCGAGCTTTGGTGGTAACGTGTTCCCCATCTATAGCACCTGAGCAACCAGGGAAATTCCAGGAATTTCGGAAGCTTTTTTCAATCCTTTTCCATTCGTCTCCGTTAGCTACCTAAAACAAAACAAAAAACATGAAATACTTCATGGCGAGGAACATTCCACATCCCAACACTGTCTGCTGAAAAACATTACCCTGATGCAACACCTGAATCTCAACGTAATCAAGATAAAGAAGAACAATGAAAATCTCTAGTTTCTCGTAAAAGGACAGTACGGAACCTCAATAATTTGGTCAATAAAGTGAAGAACGTCGTCGACTCAATTAGCACACGCATATCAACAGAAACAGAAACAGAGTTTGATATATTCGGGAAAAATGTAGCCGCCCTGTTTATCCAAAATTATCTTTGTAATTTACTGCAACAAATGGTCCACGGAACATTCAACCAAGCATACATCCCGTCCCGTCTATGTACCAGTCTTACACACTATCACCACAACACTCTCCTTACACACAACCCCCACGACACTCTCTTTACACACAACCACCACAACACTCTCTTTACACACAATAATCGCAAGGCTGTCATTACACAAAACTACCACAATCTTCTACAACAGATGCTACTGATAACATTTCTCTTGCTGACCAACCTTTCCACCTACCACAGACAAATAATGACAATACAATGACTATGTACTCTGAAAACAATGAATCTCAAACTGCAACTGTAGTAATACAAGATGACATATTGGCTAAGGCAGTATCGAGTATTTACTAACAAGTTTATTGCAAATATGTTGAATTTGAAAATAAACCTACTTTAATAAAAACATGTTTTTAATGTTACTCACCTT